CTCCTCCTTTTTTTTTTCCCCAAAGCCCCAGTAGATAGTTGTATGTCATAGCTGCACATCCTTCTAGTTGCTGTATTTGGGACACGGCCTCAGCATGGCTAGGGAAGCGGTGCGTTGGTGCGCGCCTGGGATCCGAACCCGGGCCGCAGGTAGCGGAGTGCACGCACTTAACCGCTAAGCCGCAGGGCCGGCCCCTATACTTTCTTGTTTCTTTGTCTGCCTTGTGATTTTTTTGTTGAAAACTGGACATTTGAATCTAATAATGTGGTAACGCTGATTGGATCCTCCCTTCCCCTGCCCAGGGTTTGCTGTATTTTTGTTATTGTTTTGTTGTTGTTGATTGTAGGCTGTCTCTGTGCTGAGGATCAACGTGAGGTATAAATTTAAGGTCTTCTCGGGTCTTTTCTGAGCCTTTCCCCGGGCATGCACGATCACTTTCTGATTTGCCCTGTATTTACAGTTGTTTTTTTTGTTTGTTTTGTTTTGATTTGGTTATGTTATTTTATTTTATTTATTTTTTTCCCCCAAAGCCCCAGTAGATAGTTGTATGTCATAGCTGCACATCCTTCTAGTTGCTGTATGTGGGATGTGGCCTCAGCATGGCCGGAGAAGCCGTGCGTCGGTGTGCGCCCGGGATCCGAACCCAGGCCGCCAGCAGCGGAGTGCACGCACTTAACCACTAAGCCATAGGGTCGGCCCTACAGTTGTTTTTGAATGTCCTGATCTTTAATGTCTGTCTTCCAAAAGGGGAAAAAGGATGCCAGCCCTTTAAATCCCTGGAAATCAGTTCAGCAGAGGGCTTGGGGCTTGCAATGATGGAAGAAGTGCAATGGCAATGGCCACCTGCCTCTTTGTCTGAGCCTCTGTGATCAAAAGCAGCATTCGGAGCACAGATCCTCCAATATTTGGAGGACAGGGTCCTGTTTGCCTGCCTCAGTTCCCTGAAACTGTGTGCAGGCTGCTCTGTGAATGGGTGCCCTGCTGCCTGCCACTTGGCTGAGGGGTGGGGGATGGGTAGCTGCTACTGTGCTAGGAGCTGAAATTGACAGAAATTCACATGGAAGCCTTCCCCTGGAAGTTGCAAGCCTTCAGTAGACTTCTGAATTCCAAAATAGTTACATAAGACATGTTCTGCTGGTGCAATTGTAGTCTAGGTTGGGGGATAGATTCCTGGTGCTTCCCACTCTGCCATCTTCTCAAT